TTTCGTAGATTTATTGAATGTGAATACGATAGGCTTATCGAAGTTATCTATGCAAAGCAGTTTACTTAAATGCATTTTTACAAATTAGTTGAATCCATTATTAAAAATAATAGTGAGACCTTAATTACAAATAATAAAAATTGTTTAGAATAATGCGAATTAAGGCAAATATCTATTGTCATCTGCTGGAATTAGCTAGATCCTGAATCAAGATAATCATAGAAACCGTTTAGAGATTGGTTCAAGTGACCCACATGTGCCTGGCTGTGTTACATGAGTGATGTTTTGCCAATGTCACAAATAAGCATAAATGCTTAGAAAAAAATGAAATGTTAGGATGAGATGAACTCATCAACTTGTATTCTTTTTCCGACATCCAATAGGATCTTTTTTATTTGTTTTGATAATTGTGGATTCCAGGAAGTTAGGATCTATGCAGGCATTTTAGAAACTAAAAATTAGAACACTCAAAAACCTTCTACGTTCATCTAATAGGCACATAGTATTGATAAATGGGGAAAATTTTCATTTTTGCTTAAATAATATATTATATACACATAAAATGTGATAGGATACATTCCTTTAAGTGAACCTCAGGATGCATTTTTTTCCATTATCAGATTCATGTGTTCACCTACTCCCTGGCACCTTCTCTAGCGGTTCCGAATTAGAAACCATTGCCAATGAAGATACATCTCAACTACGAGCAGGAACTTCTCCCCTTTGTCTATCTGCAATAGAAGATTTGCTCGATCTCCCAGAAAATTCGAGCTTTGGAAACTTGTTGGCTCAGAACGATCTAAGTGAAGATCTATTCCGGCCAGATTATTTATCTGACTTGATAAAAGAAGATGTGACCGACATTTAGTTGTTGCTTATCGCTGTGATAAAGGCGCCTTTTATTTCTTATTATTATTAACTGATTTATATGATGTGCTGGCCATTTGTAGCTTCAGAAATCAATTCGTTTCTCTAATTGTACAGCTCAAAAGGCATTGTTTATCAATTTATTCTTTGAATAAATTGTGATAATAACTTAATCTCTTTATTTGCCATGTTAACTGCCAACATTTTTTATTTCTCGCCGTGTCGCCAGACTGATACGACTTGTTTGCTTTTTAACCAGAATACTTACACAATAGGCTACTGATGCCTATATCGATTAAGTCGTTACAAGAATATACTATTCGAACAATCTGGCTAATTCCTAATTCGGATGACTATCTTTGATAATTTCTATCCAGTGTGCTAACGGATGCAAGGTTTTGCGCTTTTATTAGTGGAAAATTAAAAGAGGATTTACGACGCATAGCGATAGGCCAGATCTCATGCTGTTCTGCTCTTTACAGGATGAACAGCTGATGTCGGATTCTTTT